ATAAGGAATTCAAACAACTCATTAACAAGGAAACAAATAACTCAACTAAAAAATGGGCAAAAGACCTGAATAAACATTTCTCAAAAGAAGACATACAAATGGCCGACAGATATATGAAAAAATGCTCAACATCTCTGGTCATTATGGAAATGCAAATTAAGACCATAATGAGATATCACCTAACACCTGTTAGCTTGGCTATTATAAAAAAGATGAAAGATAACAAGTATTGAGAAAGATGTGGAGAAAAGGGAACCCTTGCACACTGTTGGTGGGAATGTAAATTAATATAGCTATTTTGGAAAACAATGGAGATTTCTCAAAAAACTAAAAATAGACTTACTATATGATCTAGTAATCCCACTTCTGAATATATATTCAAAGGAGTTGAAATCAGTATGTTGAAGAGATATCCGCATTTCCATGCTTATTTTAGCATTATTCACAATAACTAAGATATGGAAGTAACCTAAATGTTTGTCAATGAATAAACACATAAAGAAAATGTGATATACATACACAATGGAATACTATACAGCCTTAAAAAAGAAGGAAATTCTGCCTTTGGACAACATAGGTGAACCTGAAGGACATTATGCTAAGTGAAATAGGTAGGTACAAAAACCCAAATACTATATGATCTCTCTTATATGTGGAATCTAAAAACATCAATCTCATAGAAACACAGAATAGAAAGGTAGTAACCAGAGGCTCAAGAGGGGAGTGGGGAATGGAGAAAGGAAAGATGTTGATCAAAGAATAGAAAGTTAGACTGGAGAAATTATTTTTAGTGATCTGTTGTACTACATTGTGACCACTGTTGATAATAATGTATTGTGTATCTCAAAATTCCTAGAAGAATAGATTTTTAATGTTCTTACTACAAAAAAAGTTGGTAAGGTGATAAATATGTTAATTATCTTAATTTAGTCTTTATACAATGTATACATTGATCAAAACATTGCATTGTACCCCATAAATATAAATGTCAATTAAAAATAAATAAGAAAAAAAATGAATAGGCAAACCACCAACTGGACAAGCATTATATGTAACTACCAAAGGAATCATTCAGCATATATAAAAACTCATAGAAGTTAGTAATGAAAAAGAGAAATATTTAATTAAAATGAGCAAAACTTAAGCCAACCCTGCAAAAAAATGAGTAGCCAATTAGAACATGAAGATGCTCAATTTAATAAATCATTATCAAAATGCACATGAAAACACAATGAGATACTACTTTGCATTCATTACAAATGGCTAAAATTCAAAACACTGGCAATACCATATTTGTTGGGAACATTCAGAGCAACTAGAACACTCATATATTGCTGGTGGGAATGTGAAATAGTACAACCACTTCAGAAAATAGTTTGGCAATTTCTTATAGAGTTAAGCATATATTCTAAGAACCACCAATTTCACTCCAGGTTGTTTATCCAAGAGAAATGAAAATATATATCTACAAATGGACGTGAATAAGAATGTTCACAGCAGCTTTATTCATAATAGCCAAAACTTGAAGACTATACATATACCTATCCATACGAAAATAGCTGAAGTGTGATATACGCATACAATGAAACAGTAGTTGGCTTTACAAAAGGAACAAACTACTGATACATGCATGCAATGACATCACTAAATCCTCAAAATACTTTGTTGAGTGCAAGAGCTAAGACCAAAAAAGTACACATTGTATGATTCTAAATATATAAAGTCAAAGATCAGGCAAAACTAATATTCAGTGATAGAAATAGGAACAATTGCCTCTGGGGGCAGAAGGATAACTTGGAGGGGCACAAAGGAACTTTCAGAGGTGATGGAAATGTTTCATGTCTTGAAT